ATAGTGTCCCCATCACTATACTGGAGCATTAGGTTCCACCCAGACTGCAGAGTGAGCGCCCCCTGCTGGCCCCACTAACACCTCTTCCAGCAGCAACCTTAGTTTTTCCCAGGAGGTCTCCCATCCAGGTACAGACCAGGCTCATACTGTACCTGCTGAGCTTCAGTGGGCTGCCAGCTGTGGGCTGCAGGGTGATATGACTGCTGGCCATTTTCTCTGGGAATACTTCAGAAAGATTGGAGAAATAATACTCCAAGCCCCAGCGTCGCCCTACTTGTCCATCATAGAGAGCTGATGTTACACACTGTGATATGGGTGGGCTCAGGGTAGGGTGTGGGGGACATTTACCCATTTATTTGTATGACTTATGTTCTAATCATTTTCGGGGAGGGGTTTGGTACAAAATGGTCGTTGGAAAATAACATTACAGGGAGGGTGTCATGGTGTGTGATTTGACATGGAATGACCTAACAGGCAGAGACAAACAAAGCGACAGAGACAAGCAGGGGGACAGTGTGTCCAGTTCCACTCACAGGGCCCCTGTCCTTATCATCATGGTCGTCCCAGGAGCCCCAATCCACATCGTCCCAGTTCAGCTCCTTATCTGGAGAGAGACAGGAAAGGATACACTCCTAACACCACAGCATGGACACAAACCTGGCTGTCCAGAGAGGACAGGCTCAATGACCACAGCCTGACCATGGACACTGGACACAGGCAGACCTTGCTGTCCAGAGAGGGCAGGCTCAATGACCAACGCCTGACCATGGACACTGGACACAGGCAGACCTGGCTGTTCAGAGAGGACAGGCTCAATGACCACAGCCTGACCATGGACACTGGACACAGGCAGACCTGGCTGTCCAGAGAGGACAGGCTCAGTGACCACAGCCTGGACACCAACAATGGACAAAGACAGACCTGGCTGTCCAGAGAGGACAGGCTGTGCTCCCACTGCCAGCAGGGAGAAACAGAGACAGAGATGCACTTCCTACTGCACAGTGACAGATACTCTGGGATTAGAGAAACATTCTTCCCTAAAATAGTGAATCTAACCCTGTGTTATGATCTAAAAGGAAAGATGTTGTTAAGTTTTGGTAGCAGTTAACCCAGCAGTAACCCAGTCCAGTGAAAGCCCAGTGTGGGGCATCAGAGAGCCCACATTCGCAGAGTGTGTGACCTCTCTCTCTCTCCTCCCCGCTAGAATTCAATCTCACATTCAAGAGCTTTACTGGCATGACTGATGAGTTATAGTGTTGCCAAAGAAGACACAATTCACACATCTACAGATGTTTACAATAAAAACAAAACAAATTATCGGACAGTTACTGTACATACATCACAGAAAATACAACGCATTCATGAGAGACAGGCTCACTGTCTGTTCCTCAGGCTGGGACAGTGGTTCAGAGTAATTCACACATTGCAGTAGTCAATTCAATTCAATTCAATTCAAGGTGCTTTATAAGCATGACCGATGGGTACAATCAGTGTTGCCAAAGCAAATAAAAATAAAATTAACATGGAACAAAACAAAAAATAAAAGTAAAATAAAATCTACAGACAT